CTGTGATTCTGTGATTCTATGATTCTATGCACCCTTGCTCCATAAATCTATCTAAACCCCTTGTTGACTCTGTGATGCAGTCTACCTCCACAAACCCCTGTGGTCTCCAATTCCAGCAGCGCACAACCTGTTGCATATAAACAATTTTCTTTTATCTGCTTTAAACTCATATCCTACTTGTTTCAACAAGTGCCCCCTTCTAATAATGTTGCTGACTTTGGTGAATAACAGTTCAACATTCAGCTTATTCATCACCTTCATGGTTTTGTAAAGCTCACTCAGATTTTCTCCTCAGCTTTTTCATGTCAGAAATGACAGCCCCCATCTCTTGTAAGGCAGCTGCTTCATCCCCTTGATGTTTTAGATGCAGGGATAACTTCTTTAACTCCGTGAGGTCCTGCTGAGATGTGGAGACCTGAACTGTACCACCAGTCAAGGTATGGCTATACATACCAAGGTTTCACAGAAAAGCAAAATAATGCCATCTGCCTTGTTCTCAAAACCTTTCTGGATGGTACTAAGCTTTTTGTTGATTTTTTTTTGCTGCTACCTCCCACGGAGCCATTGATTTCAGAGGGGTAGCAACAGTGACTCTGAGATCTCTTTCCTGAGATATAAGTGCCACTACTGAGCTCAGCATTAGGTATACAAGGTTTCGATTATTTTTTATTACGTTCATTGCCTTACCTTTACCTACACTGAAGCTTATCTACCACTTTTCTGTTCTTTCATTTATTTGAGGTCCAATCGACTTGCAGCCAAGTTTCACTTCAGAAGTGTTTGGAAAGCTGGCCGTGTTCCTCACTGACCTCTCTGGCTCCTTGCTCTTCTGTGTTTCTGTTTTCCTGATGCCGCTGTTGCCTTTCCCCTCCCTGCTGACTAAATGGAAAAAGTTTACTTTCGTTTTCCCTTTTCCCTGCTCACCACCTTGCTATAAACATTGCTGAGCCAAGTTGGTGGTGCTTCATTCTTCATTTATAATATGCTTATGAGATCATTTATAATAGGCATATGATGTCTGTCCTCCTGGCTAATTACTTAAGACTACCTTCTTGCAAGATTTTAGGTCTTTCCCATCAGATTACACACAAACAGTTCAGGTAAAAACATAGGAAAAGAGTTGCCTTTTATGTCCAAGACAGATCTTTGTATTTAAAATCAGTGTAGAGAGTATGAATCTGTTTTGAAATTAACCTATGGTAAGTATTTTTCAGTTTCTTCACAAGGACCTTTATCATTTTGTCTTCTGAGTAACATGAAATAATGTTGAAGAGCAAATGTGCTAATTATGTGAAAAACACTCTTCTGGAGCCACTTCACATCTTTGAGCGCCCACTGTGCTTGCATGTAGCTATAGGGAAGAGATACAGATACAACAAGAAGCCGTATGACCATTCAAAAACTTTTTGATCCACCCAAAGTGGAAAAAGAGGAAAAAAACCTGACAATTAATCAACCTGTAACATTAAAAATATAAAGTGCACAGTCCTGTAATGTAGATAAACAGCTGTCTGAGACACAAGGCAGGAATTACTTAAGTTGAAGGCCCATAAAATGCATAGGTACATAAAATACACACAAATAGAATATAGGTGTTTTCATGCAGAATAAACTTTAAAGGACACCAATAAAGGGCCTTCCAGCAAAGATAAAGGTCTGCGGATAAGATCATAAGAACACAGAAGTTAGTATCGTGTCAGGCCAAAAGACCCTCCTCTTCTGCCCGTGACAGCGGCCAGTGCCAGAAGTTTGGAGAAGAGTATGGAAAGGATGCAGAAGGATCCTTCTCCCAACATCTTGTCCCACATTCTAGGAGTCATCTGTTCAAATGCTTCTTGAGCTGGAGATCACGTACATGCCATTAAGGGCCCATGGTGGACTTCTTTCAAATATGCCTAATCTGTGTCTATATTTATATTGTGTGTTTCATATGTGTTTCATAACTTGATTGCATGTGGGTTTTAACTTTCTATCTGGTAATTTCAAAGGCACCCCTTGGATTCGTGCATCCCGAGGAGGGATGAGTCACTGCAAGTACAAGTTCCTTGACAGAATCCCATTTATGGTGCTGCAGACACAATGAGGGAGATCATTTCCAGCTGGGAGTGGAGCAAGAAGTAATACATTTATCAAATGCTAAAAACTACATCTGCCATTGCGTGACTTGCCTGGTTATCCTTAGACCACTTCTGGTCCTCACAGATGATGTGATAACAGCTCCTCCTTTAACCTTATTTATGTTACTGGTTCATGTCAGTAATTTGCTTTCCCTAGCAAGATACTGTTTGACTGGAACTGCCAACTAGCCACACTGGAGAAAGCAATCTCTTTATCTAAATAAATAAAAATACATTATTTAGATAAATAATATATCATTGTTTTAAAGTTTTGCTTTCCTAGCAACTAGGGAGCACAACAGCATTATCCATGTTTATCCAGTTGGATTCTTCCATGCTAGTTGTGTACCTATATACCATCCAGTGCACCATTACTACTATTATTCAACCGTTTTTGAAAAATGTATGTTGAAAAGGTTTTTTGGTGCAGTTTTGCAGAACTGAAACATTTTGAGTACTGGGACTCCGTCGTCCCACTGTAGGATGACTTCCATAGGAAAGAAAGGGAAGGAATCAGACCTCCTACTGCTTTCAAAGAACATCATCCTTTTTTGAGCCTCTTCTAGAAAGCTCCAGGACAGAAAATCTCATTACAGTTCTTGCTTGCAACATTCCTTGTAGATTCAAAGCTAGTGCATAAAAATGAACATTTGTGTTTTCTTGTAGGTCTCACAATAGAGCATGTTAGCTAGAACAGTTTGGGAAGCAAAATGTGAATGTCTTTCTTGCTGCTGCTAGGACTTGCACATCTGTAGGGTGCACATCCCAGTCTGGGTTTACTTTGTGGGACTTTACTGTAATGCAGAGAGTGTCATCTGAAAACATGCTTAGTTGAGGCAAAAAATAGAGACAGCTTTTATAATTGCCATTTTCTAAGAAAGCATAGATAAAATTATAGAGAACAGTTAAGTCTTGAGTAAGCTTGAGTGTTAGGTTCTCTGCATGTTTTGTTCTTTGAAACAGAACTCTTCCCTTTCAAAGAAAAACAGTTCAAAAATGGTAATGTTTTAGTTTACTGAGTCATTGAGCAACACTCTTCTGACACGCTCTTGGAGTGTTTGTGTATCAGATGTGAGTCTTGTGTTGAGAGAAATCGGTAACTCATTGGTACTGATTTTGGAAATGAAGTATTTTGAACCTAATTTTCCTATCCAGCTGCAGCACTAGGCAACGAGCTCAGCCAGCCTCAGTGGATCTTTTGCAATGCCCAAACTTTGAGAAGATCAGGGAAGTTTCTGAGACAAGGTGAGCTAAGTGATGATTTGTCACCTGCAATAAGATAGCTATGCCAAGCTAAATGCAGAGATTGTGAGCTTGGTGGTATACATAAATGTATATACACACACACACACGTATCTACTCAGACACAACACAGAGTATTTCTTGAGATGCACAATTTGAAGTGTTGTGATTGCCTTTAAGATCTTGTGCTTACCACAAGTATTCTTAGTAACTGTACTCCCTATATCTGCATTGGCTCAACTTGACATGAACAAAAGATAGGAATGAGGTGAGAAAGGAATTTTAATTGGGGCCAGAGAAGATATGAAATGGGACAGAGTTCCTAACATGAAGCAGAAGGGATGTATGGAGCGAGAGGGAAACAGCGTACCAGACTTAGCCAAATTAATTGAAACACTGAAACAACCAAGGAGTAACTTCAATGTCAGGTTTCAGTCTAAACTTGCATTGTCTTGTCTTCCTCCTTTCGCAATCCCATTTTCAAGTTTGTGATCAAAAAACCCTTTACTTTATTAAAAGATCCTGCTTTCATCCTTAAACGTGTGTCTTATGTAAACCTCAAGGAACTGGAAGGGCACGTTCCTCCCATGGTAACTCGCTGAAATAGTCTCTGCTAACAAGCTCTGAGACAATTTTGGAAAGCCTCAGGAACTGAGAGGTTTCCCATCATGCTGCAGCAATACATTTGTGAGGTGGCATTACCGGGGCTAGACATAGCAAGAAGCCTCCATCCTGCCCTACTGGCATGAATCCATTCCAGCGAGAAACAGCTGAGAGAGATAACAATAAATACTGGCTGAAGGGGAAAACCTGAAGCCCTGTTATTCACTGATCCAGACATTACTGAGCCGGTAGATCATCTCTGGGAAAGTGAAGGAAAGGTGATAGGATTTAAGGATAGCAAATGACAGTACTAATTAACATAAAGGAAACACTTTTTATTCACAAGCAGGTTCTGTTTCCCATTAAAATTTGCAAACAGGATGAAGCTAATTCTCCTACCCCTTTTTAAAGGGAAAAAAAAAAGAAGTCAACATGAGGGCAAGAAGTGGGTCGGAGCGGACGGCGGGAGAAGCGAAAGAGCGAGCGAGCGCCCGCGGCTCGATGCCAAGTTTCACTTCTGCGAGAAAGGAAAACGAAACCGAGCGCTTCCCCTCGCCCCGGCGCGGCGGGGCGGGTCGGGACGAGACGGGACGGGACGGGACGGGACGGGAGGGGGCCACCGCGCTCTTAAAGCGCGGAGCGCCGGGCGCC